ATTCCATTTATAACAATATAATAATAATTCCAGATAAATACTCATTCCATTTATAACAATATAATAATAATTCCAGATAAATACTCATTCCATTTATAACAATGTAATAATAATAATTCCAGATAAATACTCATTCCATTTATAACAATGTTATAATAATTCCAGATAAATACTCATTCCATTTATAACAATATAATAATAATTCCAGATAAATACTCCTTCCATTTATAACAATGTAATAATAATTCCAGATAAATACTCATTACATTTATAACAATATAATAATACTCATTCTATTTATAACAATATAATTCCAGAAGTATACTCATATTATGTTACTTTAGCAGTATAATGATTCTAAAGGAATACTCATATTATGTTACTTTAGCAGTATAATGATTCTAAAGGAATACTCGTATTATGTTACTTTATCAGTATAATAATTCCAGATGAATACTCATATTACCTTGTGTCTACAACAGCCAACATTTATTTACAGAGAAAGAAACTTAAGAACATTACTCTTGACTAAACACATCTTAACACTCAACCTGTAGTGTTTTAATAGCTACAGTTAGTAAACAAGACATGCACAAACCTGTTATTTGCAGTGCACAGACTTTATCTCTCAGACATTGACTTAGTTGTTTATTGGTGTCAGTAATATGATGAGAGATTCGGTGATAACCTCTGTATACACTGATTATCGCGAGTAATTTAAAATGCAAACTTAACCCTGCAGGGAATGACTTTGAAGTAATTGGTAATTCTAAAATGAATTACAAATTATGTAGAATGTTACCTTCATGAGAGAAAGTAGCTTCCATTTTGCCAATGTACAGGTGTAACCACTCTCTCAATGACTATTCAATTAAATTTTCAGGGTTATGTGGTAACCCAAAACTTAAAAAAGGAAAACATTAAAGCACTTATATACAAACATCCCCTAGCAGAAAGTTTGAATAAATAATATTAACACAATTTAAAGTTATAAAAAAAATTCTTGAAAGGTGCTATTAATGGATTTCTTCTGCATAGGAAATTTTTGGATGATGTTTTAAGCAGCTAGCACAGATCTTCATCATGTTTTCATCTGTGCTAGCAGCTTCAACATCATCCAAAAACTACCTACAGAGATGCAGTTAATTAAAAACACCTTTGAAGTATACTCTTCTCTGTTTAAAACCTTCTCTCAAGCAAAAAAATTCAACAATTTAAAGAAAAAATATAAATAACAATGTTCATGTTAAAACAAATAGTACCATTCACATAAAAAAAAAACAAATCTCATTACAAAATCTGAACCATCACATGAGCTGCGATGACTGGAATGCATTAAGTCCATGACTGTATAATATGGCACAACAGTTACTGTATTGCAAACTTAGTAATATCGTTACAAGAGTCACCTGAAATATAAGCATGCTCAGGGCTACATGAATCTGTAATAAACTTCGAAGTCTACTGCATCTAATATTGAATTATTAATAAGAATTTCCTAGTGAAAGTAAAAAAAAAGGTGTATAACAATATGTCAATCAGGCTATATATATGCTATATACAGTGCTAACAAAGTCTTTTGCTCAATACTATGGATCTGTAGGCTTGATACAAATATAGAAATGGTTGAAACAATTTATATCAGCAAATTATTTAATAAGAACTTTTACAGTATGAACTAGCCAAAGGTAAGAGCAAAGTCAAGTTCCAGTGTATTCATAAAACAACAAATCATTCAGGATTATACTGGACTATCAAGGGAGTCACATTTCCTCCACACATTCAACTTGTAAGCATGACACATTTCCTCCATACACATTAAAACCTGTAAACATACGGTTTCCTCTTCACATTAAAACTTGTAAACATACTGTTTCCTCCACACATTAAAACTTGTAAACATACTGTTTCCTCCACACATTAAAACTTGTAAACATACTGTTTCCTCCACACATTAAAACTTGTAAACATAATGTTTCCTCC